GGAGGAGGGTGCCGGGGGAGGGCGGGGAGGCGGCTGAGGGGAGACTGGGGTACCGGGGAGGCCGCGCCTGAGGCGGCCCCGGGGCCCGGCACCGGCGCCAGCCAGCGCGGAGCTCCTTCGCCGCGGTCCCTCCGCCCTGGAGCCACCTCCCCCGGTGAGGCTGGGGCTGGAACGGGGTAAGGGGGCGGGCAGCGCAGGTTCCGACGGGCTGGACCGAGCCGCCGGCTCCGGTAGCGGTGGGAAGCTGGGGCCCTGCGGGAGGGGACCGGCCTCCGCGGGTACCAGCGGAGACTGGGGAGTCACCGGGGAATCTCCAACGCCGAATTCGAGCGTTTCCGTAGCAACCGGGGCGTGCGAAGCCGCGACCGGGCTCTCCTCGGGGCCAGAGCCTCTGCCGACGTTCTGGCTTGGGGCAGGATTGACACGGCGGAACTGAACTTTTTCTTTTTTTTTTTGTTATTGTTCTTTTTTTGTTGTTGTTTTTGTGGTTTTTTTTTAATCCCTGAAGGCAGCAGTTTGGCTGACAGCGCCGCGGAAGCATCGGTTTCAGGTTCTCGCTGTTCTGGGAAGTAACACAGAGAAGACGGTTAGTGCCTGTGTCTTTCTAAATATATATACATTTAAAATCTCCTATGGGTGTTATTTCCCCACTGGGTTCCTTGTTGACACCCCATGTCTGCCCAGGAGTCCCCGAGGGCGCTTGGGGCACTGATGGAGGTGTTCCCTACGGACGTGGGTTTGCTCTCCCGATATTCTGAGCAGAACGCCATTAAACCTGTTGCGCTCCTCTGTCAGTCCTTATTAGATTGCAGAAGTTGAAGATTAATATAGAAGTTTAAACAAGCCCTAATTATATAAGTTCTGTGTTTAATAGCATATGTGTATGAAGCCACCAATGCGTCAGCATAGTAATTAATTGTTTCCACTTGTTTCGAACCTCTTGCTTTGTCCCGAAGCATTACGTACTGCAAAGTCAGAACTTACAGGTGAAATTCTGTAATGATGTTGTTTGGGGCTGTATTTGATGCTACTTTTGAATATATCTGTCAGAAACCTGCTGTAAAAAGTAGCAGGCCATGGAGATTTTCAGGCGTTTGGCTGCAGAGAGGGAAGGGCTCTCCAGGGGGAGCGTGAGTCCCTTCTTTGCTGCTTTAAACCTGTAGATTTGCTTCTCTTGGCTGCTGTTTGCAGACCCTAAATCGTTAGAACTAATGCCTGGGCTCTTAACTTGCAGTTTCAGGAATGATAACCGTATTTGATGGGATTTCTGTTAAAATAGACCCACGTTAATGTCAAGGCTCTGCTGGTCTTTTCGTGTGGGGAAGAAATGCCAAGGTCAAACATATTTCCTTAAGAAGATTTTCTCCTGTTTCCAGATAAAGGAGACTTGGTTTCCAAATCAGATTAGGGCCCGGGCACGTAATTAAACGTTATTGCGTCTGCAGACTGTGACTGACAGTGTGA